CCTTTGATCATCTTTTTAAAAAATTTTCTCAGACAGGGTAGAAGGGACCACTTTGGTGTCCATGGAGACTTTTCTGAGGAACATTTGGGGCAGTTTTGGGTCTGGGGAGGGAATTTAGAGAGAACTTGGGTGTCTGGAGGACGCTAGGGGGAGCTGGGTGGGCACTTGGAGGGGCACTTAGGGATTCTGTGGTACAATTAGGAGCCCGGGGGAGCACTTGGGGGTCCAGGGGGGCACTTGGAGGTCAGGGAGGGGATCCGGAGGCCCTTCGGGGTCCGGGCGGGCACTTGGGGGACTGTAACAGGGAATCTACGGGCCGCGGGAGATGATGGGAGTTGTAGGCGCCGGTATAATACGATTTAATGGAACCGCGGAGCATCACGGGAGTTGTAGACGCAGCTTCAATGGATTTCGGTGAGGCGCGGGGCATGACGGGAGATGCAGTCCCGGCTGGAAGTGGCTCGGGAGGTGCGTTCGGCCGTGTGGGGGGGCACTTGGGGAACGCTTTTGCGTCCGAGCCATGGCTGCAGGTGCTCGGGGCGAATGTATACGGCTTGGGAGCACTTGTGGGGAACCTGGGGAGCTGTAACCGGGCTCTTTAGGGCGCGGGGCAGGGCAGGAGGTTTGGGCGCGGAACTGTGTTCTGGGATGATGGGAGATGAATTCCCAGCAGTGGCTGGAAGGGGAATCTGTGGAGTCGAGAGCATTCAGGGATCCAGGGACACTTTGGGGGGCCTCGAACGGGCGCTGAGGGGGCACTTGGGGATCCTGGAGGGTCTGGGGGACAATTATGGGACCCATGGGGGGGCGATCCTAGGATTCTGGGGAGCGTAGGGCATATTCCCAGTCCCTCCCAGTTCCTTCCAGCATGATCCCATTTGCTCACAACCACTCCCAGTCAGCCTCAGTGTAGCTGGACTCCCTGCAAGTATGATCGTATTCACCTCCAGCATGATCCAAATTTATTCCAGTATAAGTCCTTGTGGTAAATGTAACTTTGGAAAAAATTCGTGAAGGAGGGAATAAGTATATAACTGTATTTATAACAGTATAAAACACATAAAAATATAGTGTGCACTAAAGATTCCTCCCCAAACTGAGCAGTAACTACTTATTCAGGTGATAACGATCCTAGGTGATGCTTATCAGCCTGAGAGGAAGAGCAGAACAAGGGCCATCAGGCTAGACAATGAGAGGAGCCTAAATCTAATATTTTAGGTTCGTTATTAAAAGAAGTTTTCATTTCGTGTTTTAAATTTTTCCCTTCCCAATACATTTTTCCCCCAATAGTACACGGTTTTAAGTTTGCTTTATTGTAGCAAAGAGGGTTGACTTGAAAATAAGCTATAAAAGTTGATTGCCTCTTCCCCCCAATCCAGACAGTTTTGTTACACTGTCCGCAGACCGAAATTGGAGGGACTCCCCTTATCTCTCTTTTGTTTCGGAGGTGGGTCGTTTGAATCTTTTGTTCTCTCGAGGTCCGAAATTGCTTTTCCATAATACTTGCTCCTGGGTTGGAGCACCAAACCTTTCCCTTTAATTTACACAGATTCAATTGGGAATCATTCGACCAGCATACTCCTGCGTGCAGTTCCGGAGGACAGTCGATCAATCGCTCGATTCCTGTGGCAGTCTGGCACTGCTCACACTTCCCCAGAGGACTCTCCCCCGGAGGCGCCTCGGGACTCGTTCCCTCGGCCAAGCACATGGCTAGGTTCAGGATCATCAGGATTCCCCACCATTGCATCCCTCTGCCATGCCCTTCGCCCGTATAGGAACATACGGCGGGGATAACCATCTTCTCGGCAGCAGGGACTGTCTTCAGGGGCCCTTGAAGTCCTGATGGCGTACCTTCTCTTAAAGGTAGCCCACCGAGATGCTTTGATCGGGTCAATCCTACACGGTACTTTTACTGTTCGGCGGCACTCGATCACTAGAGGTTCCGCTTTGCAGTCGAGTTTCCCTCTCAGCCCTTTTTGGAAAAATTGAAACCACTCAGGAGAGTCTAGTTCCAACAAGCCCGCCCGGGTAGCAAGTATCAGGAAACGATTGGTCTGATCTAATTCCTTTTCTAGGCACTGGTTACACAAACCCCTAGGTTGGTTCCCTCCTAAGCAATGAGCCACCCAAATTTGCTTACAATAAGCACACTCAAAGTGTACAAATGGAAAACAGTAACAATTGGAATTTATACAACTTATCTGTCCTTCGCTTGTCATTTGTGGTGACGCCGAAACTTGATTTTCAATTCTCCCAGAGGGGTAGTGACCTTCCACTCAGAAGAATTGTAATCCGTGACCTTTTTTGCCCGAGAAGAGTGTGTCCACCCCTTCTCGGCAGTTCGAATTGCGGTATCTGTAGTCAGAAGGACGAGAAATGGACCTTCCCAATGAGGACTGAGGGGGGGCTCCTTCCACACCTTGATCAGTACTTTATCTCCCAGTCGAATCTGATGGATTGGAAATCCCAATGTTGTGCTTTGGGGAATCAATCCTCTTCTTCTTAATTCCTGTAAGTTTTTATTGATAGAAATAAGATACGGTTGGATTCGCACATCCTCTACTTGAGGATGGGCTACCGGCATTCCATGCTTATATGGCATTCCATATAGCATTTCAAAGGGGGATAATCCTGTTCCAGAATGTGGCATGGTTCTGATATTCAACAATGCCAGGGGAAGACATTTGATCCAGGACATCTTTGTTTCAATCATCAGTTTAGATAACTGTGATTTCAATGTCTGATTCATTCTTTCCACTTGCCCCGAACTCTGAGGATGCCAGGGGGTGTGATATTGCCATCTTATTCCTAATGCTTCTGATAATTGTTTAATGATTTTCGAAGTAAAATGCGTGCCTTGATCTGAATCAATATGGTCCACTATCCCATATCTGGGAATTATTTCTTCTAGTAAAATTTTTGACACCGTTTGGGCAGTAGCTTTTGCTCTGGAAAAAGCCTCTACCCAATGTGTTAACTTATCTACAATTACCAGCACATATTTATTCCTACCAATTTTTGGTAGTTCTGTGAAATCTACTTGGATTCTTTCAAACGGCCGGTATGAGAGCGGCCGGCTTCCCCAAGTTGATTGTTTAAAATTTGCCCGATTTACCTTCTGGCATATCACACACCCCTGTACCTCTTGCTTGGCAAGTTCGAAGATTCCTTTGCATCCAAAAAACTTTAAGAATTGTTCTGCCAATGCCCTGGTTCCCCAATGTGTTTGTTCGTGTAACCTTCTGAGTATTCCCTTGGCTATTCCCTTTGGGACTAACTCTCTCCCGTCCGGTAACCACCATTTACCTTTTTCGAGGTAGCCTCCTACCCTTTTGAATTCTTCCAGCTCCTTTTCCGAGGGGAGCATGGAAACCTCTGGTGATTCCTTTGGGACTATCTCAGGAATACTCACTGTTAACAAAGCCGCTCATTTTGCTTCTTCGTCTGCCCAATTGTTCCCCCTTGTGTGGAATTGCCACCCAGTTTGGTGTCCTTTCACGTGAACAACCGATATCTCTTGTGGCTCTCTGACTGCTTCCAAAATTTGCCTGATTATTTCTCCGTGTATTAACCCCTTCCCTTTGGTGTTAATCAAACCCCTTTCTTCCCATATTTTTCCAAAAGTATGAACCACTCCAAATGCATACCTTGAATCCGTGTAAATGGTCCCCCTTTTTTCCTTTAAACCCTGAAGAGCTCTTAGGAGAGCATACAGCTCACAAGCCTGTGCAGACCAGCTTGCCTGCAGGGGGCCTGATTCTATAGTTTGCCCTGTCGTGCCGTTTATGATGGCATATCCTGATTTTCGCTTTCCTTCAACTACCCTTGAGGAGCCGTCAATGAACCATTTCTCCCCTCCTTCCAGTTCCTGGTCCTGCAAGTCCGGTCTTACCTTGGTTTGCAGTTCTACTGTCTCAATACAATTATGAATTAGCTTTCCTGTTAGTTCCCCAAACAAAAACTGCGCGGGATTCTGTGCAGTAGTTGTTTTTAGTTCCAGACCCGGTGAACTGATTAACATTGCTTCATATTTCAGAAGCCTTGAATCAGTTAACCATTTCTCCGCTTTCTGCTGTAAGATATTCCTTACATCGTGTGGGGTGTAAACTACCAAGGGGGCTCCAAAAGTTATCTTTTTCGCTTCCCCAACCAACAGAG